AATACAAAACGCGACTTGAAATCTCTCTAATTTCTACCTTTTTGTGAAAATGTTTTTAAAGAGAATTGGATTGAGTAATTTAAAGAAGTCAAGTCATTGGATTCGACCAAAATGTGTCAAATCTTTGTGATCATCATGAATGTGTTGAGGGAGTGCAATATGTCATTATTATTTTTTGTTTTTATTTCTCAGATGTGGTTGTTAAATAAAATGAAAAACTTTTAACCCAGCATGTCAAAAGAAGAAGAATATGAATCTCCACAACATTTGTCACTACTTTTCTTATTGTTTCAACGCAGACGAAGGAATGTATACATTATGTTTACAGATATAACTCATGTACGAATATTATAGCCGCTAAAAATATGAGATTTAAATGGAAATTTTTCTGAAATTTTAAAAATGCGATAACAATGTATCCAATAAAATATTCTATTAACTTTTTCTGTGTATTTTTAAGTTTGTATGAACGACACACGTAAACAAAGAGTATTCTAAGAACTGTTAAAGCTGAAAAGTATATTTTCTTACTAATATTTGTAATTCATCCCTCATATCTGTAAAAATTCCAGCCCTTCAGAACGCATATGAAAATTTTTCTTTAATGAAAAATTAAATTGTTTTGTTGCGATAATAGTTATTTGTTGCAAATGATAGAAAACAAGCAAATTCCTGACTGGTGAACCGAAATGTGAGGTAGTACAGTGCTTATAAATGTGTGAGAGAGCAAGGGGAAACGATACAATAAAAAGGAAGGAAAGATCGCCCGAAGTTCTGATGCAACATTCATCAGGAACTGATCGGAGAAAGAATGGAAAACTGCGGAATGTAGCAGCCGCTATCTCAAATTCTCCTTCAGTCAGCGAATAAATTCGTCCACGCTACCTAGCTCGTGTCGAAAATGTGCCACCGTCAGAGCTAGAGTCCTAGTACCTCCCGGAAACGTCTGCGGAGCCAATGACAAGGCTGCCTCTGAGATATCTAAGCCAGTTTGCCCGCCTTGGAAGCCCGATGTCTCTGCGACAATTCCCTTAACTCCACTTTCATTACCCCTCCACAGTGGCGGCCATACCAAATTCTATTGGTGGTACTAGTTAGTGATGTGACGTCGATAACAAAACATCGATGGAAATATAACATCGTTCAAAAACCATCGATTTTAAGTATCGACGCTATGTTTTAAAACTGGTTTAGTTATAAAAAAATTAAAATTTGTTGACAATAAAACTTCATTTTTCAGTGACCATGTTCATTAAGTTATAATGATTAAATTGAAACAGACAAAAAATAATAAGGACAAATAAAAATACTCCGCCTGAAAGCCTGAGAGTCCACAGTAATCTCAAGAGCCCAGAACTTCCTGAGTTCGCTGAAGAAGGGAAATGGAAGAAAACGGGCAGCCTTACGCCCACTCTCCATGTGCGAAACACAAGGAAAGACATACGAAACACCAGGGCATTGGGGTCATCCTGAGCGAGACAAAAAGTCTTCTAGTCTGCGCGATGATGGCAGTGACATTCGTACACTCTATGGGGGGAAAACGTGAATTTCAGTGCCAGTTTGAATCTGGCAACGTCTCGTCCATTAGAGATGCATAGAAACCTACACAAAGATCTTCATATAGCGATCTTTTTATAGAGAATTGATAGAGAATCGGATGATAAAGCGCTCGTTGAAATGAATTACTATACAGAAAATAATTGAAGAAACGATATTTTATACCCATATTTGTGGTGAAAATTTTACTTTCCTTTCTTTTTGTTGGTGAGGCCATGGCACATTGGCACTACCCTACAAGCCGCCACTGGCCCTCCAAATCAAGAAAGGAATGTAAAAGTGGGGGAAGTTAACCACAAGACGCGCTCGAAATATGACGAAGATGAGTTGTTTCATACGAAAATATGTTTTCCAAAAGTTCTGTAACAAATAACTGAGGTTGGAATTATTTACATTCTTTATTCATTTGTTGCGTTCCCTTTTTAATACTGTCTTAGGGAATAATTTCTGCCAAAGAGCAAGAACATATTTAAATAGCAAATTTTTATCCTGATTAGCTTTATTTCCCTAAATTTTATATTTATTAAATTTATTTTTTTCTGTTATGCGTTGTAATAAGCAATAATACGAATATAACAATATTATGTCCTCTATCTCCTGTAGTAAAATCTCATTTTATATTCAGTAAATCACTCTAATTGGTAAACCGGGTCCCTTACTTGAACGTAGTGTACTAATGCAATTATTTTGTTACTAGTTAATATGCAACGCGTCTGTTCTTGTTCATTCATGCTAGTTCTATTCGGCCCTTTAGTTTTTTAACAGACCTTTATTTTAACTATTGTAGTGTTTACATAATAACACTATGTATCATTCTGTCACAGGTTTTATTGCGACAGTTTCGAGGAACTATTTGTCCTCATCATCTCGCTTTTTATAAGAATAAATTAATCATAATCTCTGTAATGTTATTCAAATTTCCATTCGCGCCACGGTACCAACGTACGGTGGCACGCCATATTTGAAGAAAATAATGCAATTATTGCCATCGTACAAAAACGCGATAAAGAAATGTTCCGGTGAAGTACTATCTCTCCGCAAAAGTGTACAATCATTACGACTTCTCGGCTGTCCGGGTGACGCAGCGTCGTTGGCTGAGAGACAGCCAACGTCTCGGTGTTAACCGTACAGCCAAGAAGTCAGAAGCAGAAGATTACGTGTATACAATCATTACTTCTAATCCTCGAGGAAATGCCGGTTGCCTTGGTCGCTACCGGTCGGGTCTGTCCATCTAGATCCGTCTAGATCGATGAAAGACTGAATGGCCACTCCTATGGCCGCTTACCACTCTGACGTCATCTGCTGATCATGGCAAGAAGAAGCGCTGCCGAAGTAGGAGTGCGGGGTAAAGAACGCAGCGGATACCACAAAATTGATTGACTTCAGGTGTATAAGCACCGTGCATCACATTTGCACCGTCTTGGCAACATATATTTTTTTTATAATAAACGGTCTGGTCCGTTATTAACAAGTGTGGTTCATCCCATTTCGTTTATCATCAACCTTTATTCCAATCTGTATGGTAAACAATATTAAATACATTGTGTGAAAGATTATTCAGGTCTTGGTGCCACCACCTTGTCAGAACTTGAGCCGAGCTGTGATAGTGTTGTTATCGGTGAGTGAAGCAGATTGGACAGCTGGCTAGGATAATTGCAGTAGCAGCATATCTGAGTTGCTGACCGACCAAATGTTATCCCACTCTGGCGAATACATATTGTGTTCTCCTAGTCTTATTTCACTTTTTTTTATTTGATTTCCAAATTATTTACGCTCATTTTGGCACGCGACCTGTAGTCAGGAAAATGCGTTTTCGAAGACGTCTTAAATAGAAGGCTAAAAAGTGAAACTATGTTTTTTTCGGTGTAAGGTATGTAGAAGTACATTTCGATTGAAAATATAGTATCTAGAAACTCTAAGAAACAAAATGAAACATATCTCAAAGTAAAAAAAGCGTCAATGTCGTTGAAAGTAAATTTACGAGTACCATAATTAAAATGCGTTGTATTGAATTTGTTCAAATACCACTTTGAGTAGGAAGTGATGTTAATGAAACCCATTACTGATATTGTCGGTCTCTGAGACAGCCAAGGAAAAATTAAGGCATATCTCTCTCCTCTCGCATGCCGCAGAAAAGTTTGTTTATTTGATTATTTTTATGTTTACTTTTTGAACAACAACTGCTGTCAGAGTAGAGGATCTAGTTGCGGTAGTTAATCTTTGAGAGTCAGTTAAAGTTCGGAGCGGTCTCCCAGACAGGGCCGTATTTAATGTCCGCGGGGCCGCCAAACAGACAACACAGGTGGGCCCCTGCTCAAAAAAGTGTCAGAGGGGGGAAAAGCAACCGTCCCTAAATGATTTCTGGACAGCTTCGCACAAACAAACACACTTTTTTCTGCCTATCTCTGTGTAACTAACAGTTGGTGACTTATCAATAGATGGGTTCTTCACTTACAAAAAAAAAGCAACCCTGCCCAACCACGTGCTTGGTTTGCTGTATATAAATCTGGCACTGCTCGCAGACCGTACATCATCAATTGTCAAACCATTGTAGCCATTGTGAAGATGTTTGCACGTTCTGGTCAATCTCGGAATATGTTTCCCGAGGATCCTACCTTCGATGATCAGTTATCATGGATATTGTCAGTGATATTAACTGCGATGTGAAAAGTGATTTTGCCGTGGAAAATAAACTCGATTCGAATAACGAAGAGGAAGTGCGTTAAGAATGAGATTATAAAATAGAAGGAAGGAAATAGAAATATTAGAAGAATTAGCAGAAGCGGAGAAGATAGAGGAAAACTAGAGATGTTTCGAGACAACAGTTTCGAGAAAAGACGGGTATTTCTAAGAAAAAAATTGAGGCAAATAGTATCTTTAAAAAAACGTTGAATGACGCATTGTTGAATTATTTTAATGAGTAATTTTCGTGAAACAATGTATTTTTTCTATATAAATAAAGGTTTTTAATGTACTGAACGGTTTAAATTCCTTCTTCGCGTACTTAATGAATCGTGCAGAACGAATTGGAACAAGAAGTAATCAGAAATTTACTCGGGGAGTAATAAACATTTTTATATTTATTTTATATATTAATTACCAACTCTTTCAGTTACATCTTTATTCCACCATCGTGAACGTGAAAAATTGTCAAGTGAACATGAAATGAAACAGCGAAATAACCAGCCAAAACCTTTGCTCACACACACATCGTAGATCACCGGTAAAAGAAGTTGGAAGGCACCAGAAGGTCACCAGTTAACCGATAATGCAAATTATTATGTGACGGTATAAATCTAAAAACTAAAAAAAATACAAGCATCTCTGTTGTCATCCACAACAAAAAAAAATTCAGGAAATGGCATTCGTTTTCACTTCACTACGATTATGAGATAACAGAAAAATGGGTAAAAGTAATTGTCAACTTACAAGAATTCCCACACTTGTCACCAGTAGCTACTGTTAATACCTGTAAACAAAAGAAAAAATAGGAATTTAGTGATACATGTGTACAAACAATAAAGTAAAACCTCTGTTAAGAGAAATATTGGAGATTTACTAGTTTACAGGTATGAGCAATTGTTAGTATGCATTCGGCGCTGTAGAATTCTATTTCTGCATTGTGATTTACAGTTATAGCTACGCACCGAATTCTTAGAATTTAACTATTATAATTCCTCCACATCATTTCATTGCAGCTGAGAATAGCTTTCCACAGCTACTCCCCATATAGTATTTGAGTATTTGCGAGTGTGCATGTGTGTAAGTATCGTCTTTCAATGTCAAACCACTTCCCGTACACCAGCCCATCATGCGTCATTTGCAAATTCCATTTGCTTTGATCACTCTAAACAGCGTGTTGATAATATTGACCTTTCAATATTTATTTATTTTTTTTATATTCCAATTGAGAATTCAGTTTTTCTTTCTTTCTTTTTCTTTCTCTCATGTATATATGCATGTATATATTGTTTATTATATATTATATATTATATATTATATATTATATATTATATATTATATATTATATATTATATATTATATATAGCCGTGATAGTTAGAACCTCTGGAAAAATTAGTCACTGTGAATTCAGCACATGTTAACAATGCAAAGAATTTATTTCTGAAAGTACTAACATGTTTTTGGAATAATCAGTAACTTACAAACAAACCAAAACTAAGGTGTATCAATGTAACCCCTATTAATTTTACACTTCATTAAATGAGCACCTTTGATATATTCAGGTGTTGAAATTATACATATGTGGTCACATTAGATTCTAGAGCTGAACGAGTGGTACCTGAATTGCGAATTTGACATTGCTTGTAAAAACGGCAACTTCAACTAAATTCACGGTAGTCACAAAAATGGTTGTTTGCATCTGAATTACAAAATCATTTCCATCCAGCCTTAATACAACACACAGTAGTTTCTTTTATTGCCACTATTTAATTGATAAGAATTCTTAAATTTTTAAACCTCTGTTTTAAGCAAAGCATTCAGCGGGACCAATCCAAATAGTTGCAATATCAGTTTTTCGCAGTTGATTTTATCAAATCTGATTCAGAAGAAAAAAAAAACGTTTTATTAGCTGTTTGTGCCGACCACACCCCGCCAGGGGGCGCGCCCGCCTTCTCTTCGCTCGTTTGTTCCCTCGACCTTCGCGCGGCGCGAAGCGTTTATCTGCGTGATCGACTTCAAAATCTTTCCGAGGCGTTTATAATCGAGACAGCGGCCGAGGATGGGTATCTTAAACAACGTGTGGCTTTCAAAGCCAGCCATAAATCACATTAAAATTTATGATGATTGGAAAAACAAACTCTGGGAAATACGTAAAATTAATGCATCGCAGGATGAGTTTTTGTTCCAAATGTTTTCAATCCGCCAATAATACATTATAATATTTTTTTATTTCTGACGTAAATTATTAAGTGCAATTTGGCATATTGAAAAAGCTTTTATTTGCATTGACTTCAAACCGGTTTCTATAATATTGTAGATTTTAGAGTACTACTAAATTTGAAGATAAATCTAAAAAAATTGTTGAAGTAAAGGAAAGAAATATTTGACTGGATATTTTTACAAGGTATTATTACACATTAAAACTTTTAGTAAGCATACAACTGTGTTGTATCTAAGTATGTCTTTTAAGTCTTTCCACTAAGAATCAATCTGTCAAGTTCTGTGTGTGTGTCTGTTTGTCTTTTCTGACATTCCGTTATTAAACAAAATACTTGTATACAAAGCAATTATAAAATGACGTAAACTTATGGTATTGAGTAATGAAGTTCTGCCAGTAAAACCAATCTTCAAATTCTTCGAAACTAAAACTGTAAGAAGTCTCCACAACTCCACGGGGTTCCTGACAACCAAGACGCTTTCCAAAGCCCAACAAACAAAGCAAAACATAACTCAGATATACAATGTAATCACTAAGAGAAGTCAAATATACCAGAAGGAATTGAAAAATCACTAATCAATTATTAACTAGCTCGACAATTTTTGAGATGTGTCACACTTGTTATGTATGTATGTATGTATGTATGTACTTGGCGCGACATCCCGTGAACGGGCTCAGGCCTACCGGCGATGTCCCTCCCTCGCGGCCATGGGTGAAAGGGGTACGTGTCGTTGGCACGTACAAATGCTCACGCAGTATTCCGGTCTTCTCAACCTGAGAAGTGAATTTTGTCATTGTCACAAAGCAACATACACTGGGACATTGCAAAGCACACTATAGTCTTGGCTCGACCGGAAATCGAACCCGGGGCCACGTAGTGAAAAGCAAGCATGCTGACCAAGAGCTAGCCACGAGCTCACATTTCTTATATGACAACAATTTACGAAACAAACATATTAAAATAAATATATAACGCTACTGAGGGTACGTCGAGTCGCACAGATTGACCGCCGTACTTCCCATTTGAATGAGATGGCACCTTCGCGAAACGAAACAAACACGACGCGAACGTCAGCGCGTTAAGTTCACACGAAATCCCCGACGCTCGCGTGTAATCCAGGGGCGTTTCTCGATCGGAGACTGTCGAGATAGGCGCGCGCTCGTGGTTTATAATGCGATTTGCCTGCGCCTCCGTGTCGCATTGTGGCTTCGCAAGGCGTCCGCCACCCGCCACCCGCCAACCGCCGCCATGGGTCGCGTCCTCACGGCCGTCCTCCTCGTCCTCGCCCTCGTCGCCGTCCCCGCGGCGCAGGCCACGTCGCCTCCACTGGCGCCGCAGCCCGGCGACGAGGCCGCGTCCAGAGACGTCATCAACGACCTCATCGAGAACATTCGCAGGATCATCCGCGAGGGCAGTGAAGAGCCCTACGTGCCGGTACTCGATCCGCTGAAGCTCGAATCGCAGGAGCTGGACTTGAATGAGATCGGGAGTTACGCGGTGAGTTGTTACGTTGTTTTTTGTTGTTTTGTTTATCGCTTTTCAACAACCTGGTCATAGAGAGACCACTGTGATTTTTAACTGTAGGGGGAACTGTAGATAGAACGAATAACGACAACCCAAACACACAAATATCCATGCCCGAGGAGGGATTCGAACCCTTCGAACCGAGGAATCTACGGTCCTTTAGTCTTAGAAACTTCGGCTATCAAGACTATCACAGTTTCCTTTATTCGTACGCTCGGTTTCGATTTTGATTTTCCTGAGATGAAGAATTTTCTTAAGAGAATGAGTTTTCTTTCACAAATTAACAATTGCACAGGCACAGGCAGGCGCGCGCGCGCACACACACACACACACACACACACACACAAATCGCTGTGAGACCCAAACACCTGACATGTCTCGTATGTATGTCGACGCGCTGAATCCAGATCTGAATTGCGCCATCACCTTCCAGTTTTTTACGATTAAAAAACTGAAGGGCGGTGGTGCGATTCTTCCTATTCGGATTCAACGCCTCCAAATACATAGAGAAACACGTGTCAATTCTTTGAGCCTGACAACTTTTTTAATGTACCTGTGTTGTAATACAACATTTTTCATGATTGTGAAAGTTTGATGTTTCACTAACACCTGCCAGTAGCATCTCAGAAAAATTCACGTTCTCTTGTATTTGTTTAAAACGGTCGTTTGGCGGGAAAACAATCACATCAAGGCAACCAAAGACAAAGTGCGTAATTCGATAATCCGACAAATTTCTGAAGTGTCTTTGTGAAACTTTTACCAGAAAAAAAGCCTATTTTCTAAACACATTTCTCCACTTAATCCACTCATCACTCCACTTAAAAAATGATATTTAAGATGTGCCATATTCCTTGCGAGACTATGATATATGAAGCAAGCATATTATGACTAAAGCGATAACGAAACTTTCTAAATAAAATGTTTCTTACTTCAATTTTCAAATCTTTTTTCTCTATTCTCATAAAATTAATGTTTTATTATTTCTCTTTTGAAATTAATCCAGAGAGGAGTATTCTCTTTCAATATTTAACTTAAAAATACATATCTATACAGTAAAATTTATAATGAAGTATATAAAACAATAAAAAATACTATTTATTCAGAGTTGTAATTCCTGTATTTTTATAGGCATCAAGGAAAATATACTTATGGGAAACTAGACTAATTTTAATCAACATTTAAAAGCTCAAAAGTTCAATCAAACACAGAAATGCACAGTTACTCTAAATTTTAACGTGAGTATTTGCTTCAGAAAGAGACAATCATGATTTTCATTAGGTGAAAGCTGGGATCCGAAATATGGTGTTCACTGGACTAGGAGACTTTGATGCAAATGTGTCAATTGAGAATTTACTCATTTTGCTTCGAATGACTATTACTTTGGACATCACAATTCCTCGTCTGGAAGCACAGGGTCAATACTCTCTTGATGCGCTCTTAGGAGAGGTAGTGAACTTGTACGGAAAAGGCAACTTCAAGTAAGTAACATAGTACTTATGACTGAGCAAATTTTGAGCAAATGTTAGAATTTCACATTAAGTTAGTTTCGACTTAATATAAGTAGTGCATAATTGTCTCTGACTACAAAAATGTATCTTGTTTAAATTTACATACTCAAGTATAAATAAGTATTGGCTGAAGAAGAAACATATTGCCTTCGGTTTGAAAATGATAATTTTTTATTATTTATCCAAATTTTGAAAAGTTTCCTAACATTGCAAATTCAAGATTGAAAATGTTTCTATCTTCAAAAACCCCAATTTTACTAAACCATTACTAAGTATTACACTTTTTATCTATAAATTATCTTTGAAGCTAAAATTCTTTATATGCTGTGTAAGACTACTATCGAAACATTTAACAAAAATTTAAAGTTCTAAGATCGTCAAAAAATGTTTGTTCAACTTCGGACGGGAGATTTTATATTTTTAAACCTCATAGTTCATCTTTCACTACAACGTAGGTTGTTCACGTGAGCTGTAATGTCGGCAGAAAATAGGATAACTCAAAAGAAACTAACTAATTAGACTTTCGGATTCAAATATACTAATTTAAACCTCATCTACAACCTCTTTTTTTTGGCGATCATTCTTCAAATGTCACATTAAGAATCATAAATATTTGGTTTTTGTAATTTTTTTAACGTTTGGGGTATTAATATTACTTTAATATTGCTAATCTTCCTTTTTCAGGATGGAACTATCAGAACTAAATGCTACGATTGTCACTCAAATTTCTGTAGGAGTAAGTTCTTCCAAAGTAAGGTCACTGACCACAACCCTAAACGTGGGTGATTTTAAGGTGAGTTTCCAAGACACCACACGTCGCCACTTCTTAATATCAACTTTATACAATAGAACTTCCCTCGACTTATCTAATATTGTATAAGGAAGGTCTGTTGCTAGCGATTTTTCTGCAATGAGCTTATCTACATAATTCATGTATTAAGCCGTTAATAATAATAATGCGTATAATTATTTTTATCTATAAAATTTATCTGACAAGCATACCAATGAAGATCCAAAACTACTGAGATCAGAATCCGAAATTTCCAGGCTGAATTTAGATTTGTCGGTGCGGGCGGGTCACGGTAGCATTGGTAATCAGAGCGGGGGAACGAGCACACCAGCTCTAGATCTGAAACCGAAATAGGCCACTTGTTCATCCTGACATTTTTCATTAGAATGTCCGGGACCCGCTGTGACCACCCAAACAACTGACGTTTCCTCCTTGGACAGTCTGAATGTTAAGCTACCCTAAGTCGTCTACAAAACAAGAAAGTTATGGGAAAATTTCATTTTAGAAGATACACAACATGGTGCACTATTTCTCCTCTCAGTCACCGCCAGAACTGAGATTGCGCAAATTTCACAATCATTCGTCACCACATCACTCTGATTGGCTAGTTAGCGTAGAGCACGAAACAGTGTGAAAAATGATTCCCATTCTGATGCGACTGAGTTAAAGGGTCAATTCAATGATTTTGCTATAACTTTCTGAACTGAACTCTGAGTTATAGGTTTATTCATATATATGAAATGCTCTTCTATATTATCTCAAGAATTTTCTACGAGATTAATTAAAATGCTGCTATATAATTGGCAAACTGAACTGGAATACCAAAGGAATTGACTTAACATAAAATCAAGGAATTTTTCTCTTCATTTCTCACTCTCACTTAGTTTGCTTTATGAGTTTATTTTGGAGTACAGACACAAAACGTAACTTACGTGATTTCGTAAATTGTCGTTGTTGTTATTCTTGTTCTTATTATTTTGTATCTCATAGTTGTCGCAATAATACGCATTTTTAAACATTTTCGACACAAACTAATAGAATCTGAATGTATTTCTAACAAAATTGATTATGGTTATAAAGAAGCTAGAATCATTAAACTCTCAACACACAAAAAGCATTTACATACACTTAAACACAAAGTGAAACTAAGAGTTCTTCAATAGCACATACTTTATCGCGTTTCCCTTACATTTGCAGTGTTTCATAACACAATTTTCCCCACGTCTCTAAAATATATACATGTCTGCACGTTATCGAATGCAGTAATGATGACGATTCCACAATCGGTGCGAGTATTTTAATCTCGCACTGCTGTCGACCATTCACATCTGTCTTATTTCGTTATACATGACTGAAGGTCGCGTACAGAGGTGCTGCGTGCTTTGCCGCGGTAGGTTGCAACTGCCGTAAGACAGGTGAACGACGAAACAGTATGCGAGTTGGTGTTTGTTAGGGTTAGAAAACATTAAGTGTTCTGTACCCGTTCTCTAAGGTTAAGACTCTCATTTAGCTCTTTTAAAACATCAATTTCAAAGTCGTAGAGAAAGTATAGCCTTCTGAACGCGTAGAATGGCTATTATTCACTCGTAGCAATTCCGATACTTGCTCCTATGTCGCTCGTCTCGGGAACATCAACTCGTGAATAATAGCTATCATTCCACGCTCTTTGAAGAATATACTCATACTATTATACATAAAGGATCTAGATTTATTCAATTTTTTGTTACTAAAGCCAGAATAAAGACGAATGTGATTCTGTTGAAAAATAGCCTCTTTCCGATCCAACATCACAATACTTTCTACTTACTACGTATGCACTTAGTAAGGCGACAAAGGAAAAATATGTGTGTTCAGGTTCAAAAGATTTCAGACGTGATAAAAATCTCAACCTATATATTAAGATGTTTTAATTTAGTATCCCGAAAATGCAACTAGTAGTGTCTGTCTCTTTCTACTGCCTTACGACACCTTCAAAGAAGGGTATGTATACCCACACGATAAAAGCCTGGGCCAGTACGTCTCAGCTAGTTTAGCAGTCTTTGCAATGGACTCATCTCCTGGAACCCACCAGTTAGAAACCTTTTTCAATTGCAGTTCTTTCAATATTCTGCACTCGCTTGCATCTCTATATACCCACATTCATCGATAATTCATCCACGGATGAACGTTTCTCAGCCAAAATGAGGTGATAGCGCAGCACATTGTCAGAAGAATGTGAAGAGCGAAGCTTGCCTTCTGCGCGGGAGATCCTACGTATTCGCTTGCCCTAATTCACGAGATAATATTTAAACCCTCCGACTAACTGTCTTGTGATCAACAGTATCATCTTCACACACATTGTTAACCTCTTGGGAATGTTTATCACTGACTTGTCCTCACAGCACATAGCTTGCGACGAACATGTATTACAGCTGCTGTCTTAAACGACTGCTACCAGTGCAACACTTGCGGAAATAGATTGAGCTAAATTTGAATTCAGGCGAGAAGAATGATACTACGAAATCTGTAAAGAGGAAAGACGTAGAAAAGAAAACTAATGTTTAAAAAATAATGTGCATGTCTTTTGGAGTGACCTTCGTACATTACTTCGAATATACGTATGAATGCGAGAAAGTATAAACACA